AGAGATATCCAAACTGTAAGCTATGCGCACGGGAATACAATAGCGCACATTTCCGGTCAGTTTAATGCATGCTTTGCATCAAGAACTGTCAAATGACGGAGTAATCAGATGAGAAGTCTTTACAAAATATTCGTTTGGTTTTTTATTTTTAATTCTTTTTTTAGGATAATGGAAATATAAACTTAATGTAGATTTAGGCACTGCCTAAGAGCTGAGCCCCAAAGAAATAGTATATATAGTGTTGAATACATTGCAGTACAATGCTTGCGGCATTAGCCGCTACAAAGAAATTGGCGGGCTTTTTGAAGCATTGAAATCGCACTCTCTTATTGCAGTACTCTAATAACATCGGTGAGCCCTTTGATAGTACTCTTCTGAAGAAATATTGTTTGAGTTGCATACTACCGAATGACAAAACCGCGGTACTAGATAGTAAAGATGCATGAACATACGCCCCGCACCGACACATGACTTGTTATCAACAATTTAAGAAAACGACTTGTTTGTACTCTCTTAGTGGAGGAAATTTTTGTTATTTTCTTGGAAAACCACGTTTTGTTGAAGTGAAGATATTTTTCCAAACGGGTTGATTTGTTGATTTTGAAACAAATTTTCTTATGCTAGAAAACATACCGACTTTGATCCAACGACGCCCATTGTTTAACAACTTTTCATGACGCTCAACTTTGCGAGAATGAAAGTGGTAATATAACGGAGGAATAAAAAACTAAAAAACAGCTCAAGTTATCAGACACTTTGAGCATTTGCTTGAGCTTCGAAGATTCAACATMTAATCACGTGGTCGCTGCTAAATTTATTCTAAAAAAAATCGTTACCTGAAGCGGAAGTGGGCAGCGACCCAAACCCGCGGAAAGGAAATAACACGTTGACGATGAAGAAAGTAATATTGGCGGCTTTGCGGGTTCTAACGCCTTTCGGAAAAATATATAACGGACTGAAATAAGACCACGAGTGACTGCGTAAATATAAAAACGTCGTTAAAAAAAACGGTCTTTACTTGATCTTGCTTCTCAGGTGCATTACTACTGAAATTTTAAAAGGGCGTGTTTTAAAATGTTTTGTAATAAATTTGTAAGAAGCCCAAGCCCCAGATGTAACCTTGTCTCAAGATTACGAAATATCTACCCTTCCAGCCCTCCTTGGGAATTACAAATCTCATCCATAGAGGGAGGGGTGGGTGGTATGGGATATTTTTGGTTTTTGGCATGGTTCTCCCAGTTGTTTCTTAAGATTCAATACACCGTTCCCGAATTCTTTGTTCTACCTCCCTAGTTACTGTTGCTACGTCAGACAAGCTAAAATGTGTTCTTGATATACAGCATGGAAAAGATTCTGATTGCTGAAAATTGTAAATGCCTGTCTTAGAATCAATACATTCCAAAGGTACATTAAGAAAACAATTATCAACATATTAACCACGTATTTCATTGAGCAAATGACCCATCATTTGGGTGGACGCTCAAATATAGGATTGGTCTGTTGGATCTTTGGGGTTTCACCTAGTTTGGAGGCTAGCTCTGTTGTGATTGTCCCACGCTGTGATACAACAGCCAAAGCTTAAATAGATTTTATATCTTAGAAGACAAAACACAAGGCTTGCCATGAAACAGAAAAACACTGATAGGAACTTTGAAAAAGTCTAATACATATGACCTTCATACCCACTGTAATAATTGTAATATGGTTTAAAAGTGAAACATTCAAATTCATTCTTTTTTATTATTAATTAATAAATATCACTCACAGGCCTACAGTCACAAGATTCTCTTTTTCATAACATAAAGAACTGTGGTAAAAAATAATATCAATCCAAATATTATTAGTAGTCTATCAGTTATCTCTCGTCGGTTGTATTTGTTTAACAAATTCTTACTGATATGAATGATGCCASTCAGTCCTTTATACTCTTCCTGGGTTTCTTGGACTGTTGCTGATGAGGTTGCTAAGAAAACATAGAATATTTTGGTTATCTTGGAGCAGTTTTCATATGAGCAAGAAACATTGTACTGACTCACAGCATGTACACAGTACAGCATGGAGTAACACTGAAATAGCTTCCCATTGTGTTTGTAATTCATCCCACGACAAGTACAGTACTGTAGTAACAATAATATATGGCCATTTTACAGCTACAGTACAGGCTAAATCTATCTGTCTTATACAGATTTGAATGAAGACAAGTTGAATAACATTTCTAAGCAAATGTTTATAGAATATACACAGTGTAGGTAAATAGTTCTGAGTGAACAAGAAAAAGTGATAAGGGTAATAAAGGTAACAACACTCTTGTCAGTGGGAAGAGCACAGGGAACCCAATATCTCAAGAGTGTGCAGTGGTATTTAAAGGAGAGTATCTACGAGTTTGGCAGTTTGATTCTTTTATAGCTTGTTTTGTTTTAAACTGTCAACGCATACATTGAACCTTTCCCAACTGTACCCGACTTCTGAAGTCATGGCTAAAGCCTTGGATTGCAAGTAAGGGACTCTGCTTAAAAGATCATTAAATATGTTATCATAGCTATTTATTTAAATAAAATAAGTTGGGAATAATGGGTGGCTAAGCATAATATGAAATGTCTTACCTAATAGTTGCAAATCATTCTCTGCTTGTCTTACRTGACTCTCCATTTGTTTGGTACAACTCATAAGATCTTTCGTTATGTTACTTGATGTTGCTGCTAAATTTTCTTTCTTAAAATTCCTATAAATATAGAGGGCATGCAGTGAAACCATGAAATAAAAACAAAGTTTATACTGACAAATAGTAGCTATTTAGTGACTAATAGTTGCTAGCACTCAACCAGAACATTTATTAAACAAAAGACACAAATGGTCTCTTGTGTATTTGTCTTTTGTATGATGAATGTTCTGGTTGAGTGATAGCGACTATTACCAGAGAACCCATGAAATATGAATTCTTCATACTTTGAATTTATTGTAAATGCTAGTCGAGCTCATGCATGGTGGATCTATTTCAATCGACAAGAGAAATCTTCATTGTACTCATTCCCTGCTAGAAAAATGCTAACAAACTCTCTTGAAAAGTGGGTAGGGGGGCTCAATGGATGGTTTTAAAAATGACCCTAAAAGGTACACATAAATTAACTGAGATGCTGATTTTAGACCCTAAAAGGTACGACCACATTTAAAATAACAACGTTTCCAACCATTATATTTTGTATGATGTTTGATAATTTTCAAAATGAATAAATCTGACCCTAAAAGGTACGGAGTCAGCCGGGAGTCATCCGGATACCCTAAAAAGTACGCAAGGTCTCATTTTCGACCCTAAAAGGTCGGTCGAGCTCCCTACCCAMTTTTCAAGAGAGTCCCCCCCAGGGTAGCTGATCAATGATGGCAATGTGCAGTCCATAGAATTCAAGACACATACTTGCACCTGTATGCTAATTGCCTAATCAGAAAGTGTTATTCTTTAGCTAGGTTATAATAGAAAATTAAAGCTGATAATTCAACAGAGTTGAAAGATATACCAATCAAGAATTACATACCTATATCTAAGCTCTGTGGATCTTCCTGAAAGTAAACTCTCTCGTTCATTTTGGTCAATCTTTGTCTTACATGCAAGATTCACTTTTCTTATAGATGCTTGTAAGCTGCACAGAGAGACAACAGCATATTATTTCACTTTTGAAGAAATTTTATAGCAATATAATATGACAGAGAAGGCTTTCATCTATACAGCTCTTTCAAGAAAAGGTTGCTGAGGGTTTCGTTCCAAATACTCCCATTTCGAGTTTTCCCTTTCTTAGTCTTAGCCTCAAATGKGTACAAATGTGTTCTTTTGTCTTATTAAGGTAAGGAATGCACATACTTAGGAGCAATACAAGTCGATTAAAAAATGCCACTGGTTTTGGTTGAATAAATGAATATTTTAATGCAYAAATGAGACTAAGGCTGAGCAAATGGAACTTGAATTTAGAGTATTTTTGCATTTTGCTTGTTGCTTAAGTTACCTTGAAGTGTATTATATTCATATGTAWATAATGTCAGCACAGAAGAAAATATACTGGGAAAAGGTGCAGACAAAGTTTGGAATAACTTTTGCTGATAATATTAATATCAATTACCAATAATACATATACGGCTATTTCAAAAAAGGTTGAATACTGAATACTGCATACTGAATAGTACATGCCAAGACCAAAAAGCACTGTGGATCTTGTTGACTTGGAATAATAAGTAAATATACAGCAATTAACTCTATATGTAGGTAGAATGCACTAAAAATAGAATAGAAAATTATTATTAATCCTACTTTAGACAATATCCCTGACCCACAATGCACTTTGGTCTTGGAGTGCACTATTCAGTATGCAGTATTYAGTATTCAACCTTTTTTGAAATAGCTGTATTYATTGGCTTCATATGCAAYGTGAAAAAAAACTTCACCAACCTTCTTTAAATAGCTGTATATCTACATTATATATAGTGCTTTCTTACAGGTAATATAGGTTTTGGTGTACAGCARTTTATATTTTATACATAAATTTATGGGACAAATGCAGTATATACAAAATGTAGCTGAACAATGATAGACATTATTCTCTTTTTTCCATTTCAAATCCCATACCATTCGCTTGAGTATCCTTTCTTTCTTTACCCAGTAATCAATACAAATGAAAGTTGAGAAATTTTAACAAAGATTAAAGCCAAACGAATAAGGTCTATCCGTCATATTACCTTGTAATTTCACTCTTGTGTTTGTTCATAACTGTTAATATTGCTTCACTATCTACATCTTTGTCTTGTTCATTTGCAAGTTGATTGAGCGTCTTGAAAAAAATTATGAGTCAAAAACTGCTTACGAAAAATGTAAGAGATAAACTTAGAAAAAAATTAAAATATTATAAATAAGCTTACAGATTGTAAACATAGCATGTTCGTGAAGCTTTAACAAGTTATAATTCTGTAAAAAAAAACATCGAAAAGCATATAGGAAATATGGGAAGTTTGTTTTCAATAAGCTTACCTCAACCTTTCGTTTGACTACAGTCATTTTGATTTTTATCTTCGAGTTCAATTCATTTAACACAGATATTGGACCATCACATTCTCTTATTTCTTGAATAATATTTTGTAATTCAAACTCTAATTTCACGATTTCTCGGACTGGGATTTTCGCTTGAATAGGAACTTGTACATCGTCCGCCATTTTGAATCGAAATGAGATTATGAAGTTCCCGAAGGTTCATGGTCATTGTTATTCGGAGGTGTCTCGTTCGTCTTATTTATAGCCGAAGACTTTCCGATATTTTCTATCTAACTTTCTTTTCAAATTTTATACCTTTCTTCATTGCGATATAAGTAGTAAATACTTAAACGTAATAGAATCCGTCCTTCTTGGTATACGTTTAGGATAACTAAATAATAATAAAATATTAAGAAAAGTAAAGGGCATTTTTTTATCATCTTTTAGTCATATACATATACCACCCATTATTCGGGTGTCCAGATTTTTTAAATTCTATTTTATTCTTCTTATTTATTTATTATTTTATTTTTTCTAAAGGGAATACTTATCCGAATCTTTCCGACTTCAAAATTCAATTTTCGGAAGCCCCTCGGGATACCGCCAAATTCGAGCCATGTGAATGGAAGAACCAATCAGGGTCAAGGAGCATGTTGCTCGTCCGGTAGCGATTTTGGAAGGATTCTCAAAGCGTGTTGATTCTACTGACTTTTTCTGCAATTATTGAGTAAACTAAAACTACTGCCATCGAGTCAGATGGCACAGGCGGAAGTCAAAGACTGTCCGTCTCAACAAGAGGGTTTAGATGGATCTCCAAAAAAGGTTTCGAAGCGGATCCCAACGAGCCCTTCCCAGCAAACTCATGCATCATGGCTTGTAGGAGACGTTGTTTGGTCCAAAATTCCCGGCCATCCGTGGTGGCCTTCCATGGTCGCTTACGATCCCAATAGCGCTGTGTATTTTCAGTTTAAGGGCCGAGCAAGATACTATCATGTACAGTTTTTTGGACAAGACCCTGTGCGAGGATGGGCGTCCGAAAGATCGGTCATCAAGTTCGAAGGTACCGTAGCCCGTATAATGTGCGTGTGTGTTTACGGAATCTTGAGATTTGCGCATCTTTCGCTTTCTTAAGCTTCGTGCAGAACGTGATCAAGGTAGTCGTGAAAACTAAAAAAGTTGTACTTAAATATATTAATGTTATCTTGTGATCTACAGGGGAAATCTCTAGGAATTTTTCGGTTGAACTATATAAATGATCGTGTGATGTTGTTGGTTGCCCGCCATGTTTTATGCGTTGAGGTTGACTTATAATAAAAATGCTTGCTAGGGGAAAGCGAGTATAAGTAAATTGACTCTGCTTTGAGATATTGGTAGTGGTTACTCGCTTCGAGCAAGGTTATATCATTGACTGATAAAATGCACGGATGTGTTTAGAGTTCAATGCATTTGACGAGTAATGACTCCTTTCATTTCACGTCCCATAAATAAAATGCGATCTGCCATCGGAAGACCACGTATGTACAGCTCAAGCGCATGGCAGATGTTTTATACTCTTTATAAGCGTTGTAAATCAATTGGAACTCAACTGACTCGGATTTGAGATCGCGTTCAAGCTACCATGATTGCGATTTGGATCGCTTTGCTTTCGTCCTAAAACTTTTATCACCAGACTTTAGTTTTCTGAACACCTAACCTTGTCAAAACCGTGGATGTAAGATCTACAGATCTAAATCACCTCTATTGTCCCTTCATCATAGTTACCTAGATCGTTTTCAACGCCTGGCTAATAATTTGTAAACCATGTTAATTACAACGGCGTAAAAATGAAAGAAGTTTGTTTATTTCATTCACACATTTCTTCAAATGTCCATATTTCTTTCTTGGAGAGGGGTAGTCCCTTGAAGCCAGTATTTGAAAAACTTGAATTCTGTTTGGTAGAAAACAGGTGCACTGTTTGCAACAGTAAGTTAATATTTTTCGAATGAAGCAGTTGTTAGAAGATGGACGTAAAAAAATGTCACATTTTTTAGCCAAAAATGTTTTAAAGTGCATGTGTACAACAAAGGCTTTGAAATAAAATAAGGAAATTTGACTTCTAAAAAACTCAAAATAAGAGCATTATACCTGAGGAAAAGTATGACTAAATGTGATATGAGATTAAATGATCCAGAGCACCAGGGCTTAAAATAACGGCCAGACATCAGACAATGTCTGACCAGAACTGGGATTGGTCGGGTCAAATCTTTGCCTTCCATGCCATTTTGACCAGTAACCTTTAGCCAGTAATGAGGTATGACTAAGCTAAAACTAATTTGGACTGTGATCATGACTGGCAACTGATTGGCCATTATTTGAAGCCCTGAGTACATAGAATATTTTTGAGAATAAATCTCTGATAGGAAGTAAAATTATGAAGAGCAAAGATATTTCATCATCCTTACTCGTAGTGCAAAGAGGGATTGTTTTTATCTAGAAATGAAAGTTTGTATAATATTAAGGTTTGTTGATAAAGGTTGTTTTTTTAAAATAAATAAGTACAAAAAGAGTTGATGATAACTAATAGAGAACTAATGTAGACTGCGTCGGTGTTTCTGAATAAAACAGTAGGAGCTACAAGTACAAAAAGAGCTTGGAAGTTGATAATTAGGTCATAGGTTGTTGTTTTGATTAATGAATATTGCCTTAGGATGTGTTTCAATTTGCCAACAATGTTTTCTAAATTTGGCAACTGTGAGTGCTATTTTAGACTATCATTTTGGCTAGTTTTTTCCTTAAGGGTCCAAGATTTGACAATGCTCTTGTAACTGCACAACATTTTCCAGCTTAAACTACCATGATCTTATCCTATTATTTCAAAAAATTAATGAAAACCCTGCCAGGACTCTCCAGCTAGTTTATTATCTTGTGTTAATGAAAAACTTAATGAAAACCCTGATTTAGGGGGTTATAATTAAGTCTATAAATATTTATTTGTTTATTTTTACAGGAAGAGAACATTTTGAAGCATCTATTCAAAGCAAGAATCATAGAGTGACCCCTAAACGACTTCCTCTTTGGGAGACAGCAGTGAGAGTTGCTGAAAAGGCTCTACCGATGAATCGTCATGAAAGACAGTTATGTTTCACATTTAAATATAATGACACACTAAAACAAAAGGATCACGCAGTTCAAAAAGTTAAAGGTATGAATGGAATAAACCAAACTATTGATCAAACATTGCCTAAAAAGCAAGGGGAATCGACAAGCACCACATCAGATAGCGTCAATGGTACTAATTCAGATGAATTGGAACAAGAAAAGATAGACTTGGAAGAAAACAATACGTTAGCAAAGATACCTAAAGTAAAAATACCTAAGAAACGAAAACGAAAAATCCCTGATGTGGACATCAGTCTACCTAGCAGTTCAATACCTTCTCCCATTGACAGTTCTATAGATAGTAAACCAAGTGGTTCAAGGATTACTAAGAGAATAAGGAAGCCAAAGATTAAAGATTATCCTATTGCCAAAGCTTCCTCTCCACAATCACCTTTACAAAATGGAGACCTACCTCAGTCACCTGTCTGTGGGAACGTTTCTCCAACTTCAGGTCTACGGCTTAAGATAATCAAAGTTAAATCTCCTGTAAACAACGATAAAGTAAAGCGCAAGCGAGGTAGGCCTCCTAAAGAAAAAGAAACTTTTATAGTTGTAAATGGGTTAGAGAAGCCTGAAAAGGAGCCTGAAGCTTCAACATCTCCTTTAGTCAGTGAGAGAGTATCACCAGAAGTTGTCATTAGCAACAACAAGCCTGACGTGTCAAGCACCAGTTCATCAGGGTCTGAAGAGAAGCAGAAGAAAAGAAAAAGAAGGAAGTTGGAAGATAGTTTTGTTGCCAATGAGAAGACTAAAGTAGAAGAAGAAAAGCCTAAAGTAAAAAGAAAATATGTAAGAAAGAACAAAGGAGAGAAGAGTGGTGAGGACAAAGACTCCTCAAAAACTGTGGAGGAGAATAAGTTGAATGAAGTGTCCAGTTCAGTAGATATTATCGAAGAAAGAAATCCTGAAAAACCACAAGAGTCTCTTTTAACTGGAGTTCCGGATGTTGAGGAAAGTATTGTTTCAAGCAATGATGATGATACAGGAAGTTCTAAAGGTTYAACATTGACGAAAAAAGAAAGAGCAGAAAAGGAAAAGGAAGCAGTTTGTGTTGTCTGTGAGCAAGTCAATGACCTGATATTTTGTGAAGGAGGTTGTAATAATGCCTATCATATTGACTGTATTGGTCTTAGTTCTGTACCTAAAGAAAAATTCATCTGTGATGAATGTACCTCTGGGATACACTCATGTTTTGTGTGTAGACAAACTGGAGATGTCAAACAATGTAATCAGCCGATGTGTTCTAAGTATTACCATTTGGAGTGTCTAAAAACATACAACTGTACAAAGATTGACGGAGATCGCCTTTACTGTCCTCTACACTCTTGTGTTACATGTGTTGTAAACAAAATGCCACAAAGCCGAGGTCGCCTCATACGTTGTGTTCGGTGTCCCACTGCATATCATTTATCTGGCTGCCTTGTTGCAGGGTGTATGCCAATTACCTCTCATTTAATGGTTTGTGCAAAACACTTTATGCCCAATAAGAACAAAGCACACCATTCACATGTCAATGTCAATTGGTGCTTTGTATGTTCTATTGGTGGCACTCTTATCTGCTGCGAAAGCTGTCCTGCAGCATTCCATCCCGAGTGTATCAGCTATGAAGGCATCCCTGAAGGACACTTCTTTTGCAAGGATTGCACTGACAACAAGGCATTGCTTTATGGTGACATAGTGTGGGTCAAGCTAGGAATGTACAGGTCTGTATTGTCATTTCTTATTTAAGTAATGCTAAGGGATGGACCATGAGATAATTGAGGGAGGGTTGCAAGAATTTATGTTGCACAATTTTTTTGTAACAACCCCAGCCATTTTTTTGTGTGTGTATGCTTGATTTGTTTTACTGAAGGTGAGGCTGTACACCACCCCCCTCGAATTTCAAATTACCGCTGTGTTCCTTGATTACAGACTCATTTGCACAGGGTTAGTCTCGTATCAGTGTTTAAATATTCACAAATACCAACAGAAAAGTAAAGAATGTACAACTTCAACAATACAAACATTTTGAAACTCTACTGACCTTGACTGGAACACGTGAATATTCTGCACAAACTCGAGGCTAACCCTGTGCAAATGAGTCGGTAATCAAGAAACACAGCAGTAATTTGGATTTCGAAAGGGGTCTATTGTCTGTCCCTAAGCAAGAGGATTCAGTTTATAGTAACTTCACTTGTTAAGAAGCAAGTGTGGCTTGGAAGGTTATTGTGCTGCTTAAGAGGCAGTCTCTGTAAAAGCGGCCCACTGCATTTCAGGTCAGAAAATAGTTTTCCCTCAAACTTTTACCATAGAAAGGTAATTACTAGTAAGTAATGAAAATGACTTTATTTTCTCGAAATTCATCAAAATGATTTTTTTACAGCGCATAA